AGCAAACATGTCTTAACGGAAGACATAGTGCACCGAGAGGTGACCCCCGACCAGAAGCTGCTGTCCCGGAGACTCCTGACCAAGACCAATAGGATGCCACGCTGGGCAGAGCGACTGTTTCCCGCCAACGTTGCTCACTCGGTGTACATCCTGGAGGACTCTATTGTGGACCCGCAGAATCAGACCATGACTACCTTCACCTGGAACATCAACCACGCCCGGCTGATGGTGAGACCACCTTTGGTCCTTCAAAATAGTTGCCCTTCAGATCTCAGAGTTGTGGAAACTACTGTGGTCTGAAGCAAGTTTAGAATGATAATGAGCAAAGTCTGTAGAGTTATTCCCTCAGATTGCCCCTTTTCGGTTGGTCCGTCTTTCTGTGCCTGTCCCTTGCATCTCAGATGGTGGGGGAAATCACCTCTTTTCAGAACTTGTTTCAAGTGCTGTGCACAAAACACTTGGTTGGTGTGTGACATACATACATACAGGGTGGGCTTTCAGGAATGATGGGGGAGGGGAGGAGACAGTGACTTGACAGGTAACCAGCACAGTGGTGTGTTTGTGACTATCTGTGCTCTTCAGGAAGTTGCCACTCACTTTGATAGTAAAAGCTGTGATTATTATCAGATGGTTTTGTGTGTGTATAGACTATCAGGAAACAGAAGGCCTAGAAACACTGCACATGTCTAGATCTATAGGCCCTAAGCAAAACCCAGGATCAGGCTGGACTACTGGCTGATCCCAAGAGACTGTGTTCTACTTTTAAGGGTCAACAGAGAAGTTGTAGAGGCAGAATGCCTTTTTTTTTCTTTATTTTTGGTTTTATTCGAGACAGGGTTTCTCTCTGTAGCTTTGTACCTTTCCTGGATCTCGCTCTGTAGCCCAGGCTGGCCTTGAACTCACGGAGATCCACCTGCCTCTGCCTCCCGTGTGCTGGGATTAAAGGCGTGCGCCACCACCGCCGCCACCACCCGGCTGAATGGCTTCTTTTTGGGCCTAGGGATACATAATAGAAAGAACTTTCTTTTCATTGCTCTCCCCTTGTGAACGAGGCAAGGATCACCCAGTGTCGTGTGCAGGAATGTGGTACTGGCTGGGGCGGCACCATAGAGACGGGTCTGAGTCTGTGGAAATGGGCAAAGCAAAGGCTGATTTCCTGTGCAGGTGGTGGAGGAGCGCTGTGTTTACTGTGTGAACCCCGACAACAGCGGCTGGACCGAAATCCGTCGGGAAGCCTGGGTCTCCTCTAGCTTATTTGGCGTCTCTAGAGCTGTCCAGGTAAGAGATTTAGGGGTTGGGCCAGGCTGGGCTCTGGGTCCCTGAGCAGCTCTCCCATGTTCTTCCCTCTCCCGCCAGGAGTTTGGTCTTGCCCGGTTCAAAAGCAATGTGACCAAGACGATGAAGGGCTTTGAGTACATCTTGGCCAAGCTACAAGGTGAGAGCCCTGGACACTTTGTGGGGGACTAAGGGACCTTCACTGTCAGTGGCTAGGATGATCCTACCTCAACTTGACCAGTGAGGTGTTGTGCCAGTCACTGCCCAGATCTGAGCCCGAGGCTCTTGTAATGTGCCTGAAAGGGGGGGGGGGGGCTGTCAGGAAACAGGACGATACTCCATTCCTAAGAAGCCTGGCCCATAAACAGTGACTGCCATGGTTGAGGAGGGATTGAGTGGGTCTTCTATTCGTCATCTGAAGCCAGCCTCCTGTCATTTGCCACAGGTGAGGCCCCTTCCAAAACACTTGTTGAGACAGCCAAAGAAGCCAAAGAGAAAGCCAAGGAGACAGCACTGGCAGCTACAGAGAAGGCCAAGGACCTGGCCAACAAGGCCGCCACCAAGCAGCAGCAGCAGCAGCTGGTGTAGCTCCCTCTCCTTCTCCTCAGTGTACTTGATTATTAAAAATCCACCTCCAGCCCTCTCTGCTGTCTGGGTGGTGGGGTAGGGCGGTGTCCTGGTCCCCATCTGCAGTACACCTGGCTGAGTGTCTCCTGAGCCCAGCCTCCTTTTACCCCGTTGGGCAGAAAGGGTCAAAGCAGTGTGCAGGTGAAGTGGTCATACATGATAGACTGTACGCTCCACGAGGGCAGGGCTCCTTGTTTTATTCTCTGAACAATATTTAGCACATAACAGGCACTCAATAAACACTTGATTTGATTGGCCCCAGTTCCGGAGTCAGATAGCTTTGGTTTGGATCTGGACCTCCCGCAAGTCACATGGCTGCCTCGGCTCCACAAACAGCAGCCGCTGCACTGTGTTAGAGGCGCACTGCCCAGCACAGGACCATGTTTGGCAGCTACTGATCTTATTTCCTCTTTTCCAGTTGTGGCTGGGACTTCCTCCATCTCATCACGCAAAACCATGGACGGGAACTTACGAAAGAGGATTTTAATGAAAATACTTTGCCGTCTATGTGGGGCAGAGGCCTGGGGCTTTGCCCAGGAACAAGAGGTCTACAGGCTTCCTGTCCCGTGGTGGGCAGCAAAGCAGAGCCAAGGGCTACCTAAAATGCCCTGGGGAGTGGGGAGGGTGGCCGGGGTTCAAGCTCTGCAGCTGAGTCCAGAGAGCCCTGTGCCCACACAAGGGTCTCTGTAGCCTCCTCCAAGTGGCTCTAAGCAGACCTTGGGGCTTGTGTGGGGCCACTGCCTGGCAGGCTCAGTCCAGAGGGAGTAAAGGCTGCTCTGGGCAGCCAGTGTCATAGCCAGGTACTGGTGCCGTGTGAGTAGCTGAGGCCCTGGCCAGGGCTGAAGCTCTGAAGAAGCTCATTCTCAGTCCCGAACACCAGGCTCTCCACATCCACCTCCACATCCTCTGCAGAGAGAAACCCATCAGGAGCCCCGCCTACACGCCCCCACCCAGCCCTGCCCCTGTGGGGCACTCACCTTGGTCCGAGTCCGAGCGCTCCGAGGACAGAACGGAAGAGTCCAGGCTGTGTGCTCGCAGCCGTTCACGCTCTCCAGCCCCCGGCAGCCTCTGGAGCTGTTCCAGCTGCTGCTGCAGACTCTGCTGTTGGCTGCGAAGCTTCTCCTTGAGCCGCTGGGCCTGCTGCTCCTGCTCTTCCAGCTTCTGCAGAACCCCCAGGGCAGGGACTGGGTCAGCTGCCCAGGGCCTGGCCTTTCTATGGCCACCAGGGCCTTTGTCTGTACTAGACAGGCAGCCACATAAACGGACCCAAGATGGTTTCACATCCTCCAGGAGGCCACTACCTCCTGCCTTTCTATCTACATAGATCTGTCTTTATGGCTGTGGATGGCAGGATACCCCAATCTCAAATGCCTTTCGGGCATAGTCACATAATAAGGTGGAATATAATGTCAGTACAGACTGGCAGACTGGCATCCTAACCGGCAAGACTGGCCAACAAGACAGAGCCACCTGACTGCAGCTCTATTGCTGCGCACAGTCTGAGCATGGCGCTGTCCGATTGGTCTCCATTTACATGGTGGAAAACCAGACTTTTCATGTCAAGTGTACTTGGAAGCACTGCCACCTAATTTAAATTATTGGACTACAGGCTAGAGGCTACTGGTTCACTAGGTGAGCAGCTCCGTGGTAAGGTGTTTGCCTAGCACGTGCAAGGCCCTGGGTTTGATCCTTCTCCCATACTAATAACTTTGTTTTTTTTTTTTTAAGAAGAGAATAAGCCAGAACACTCAAGACAAGGTACAGAAGGATGTGTGTCCTCACTTAGACTAAGATGTAGGGTTCAGTTACTACCAAGGCAGAGAACCCTGGGAAGCTTGCAGAGTCCAGCTTTGTCTGTGGTAGGCAGAGAGAGAACCCTAAAAAGATGTTATGGGGCTGTGTGAAGCCCAAAACCTCAAGGCCTGCATTAGAGAGAGGCTTGAGTTCCCTAGGTGCTGAGGCTGCCCTGTCAGAGTTTCCAGCTGGAGATGGACCTCAGTAGATCTACATGCAGCCTGACAGACACCAGGCCAGAAGGGAAGCCTAGGAGGGGCTGCCAGGAAGGCCCCTGGTCTTGCCATGTGGCGTCCGACACCTGAGTAGCACATTTCATCTACCTGAAAATGAGGTCAAAGGAGCTCCACGGGAGAAACCGGAGCCTATGTGACAACCAGAACCATGAAATGACAGCGTGCACCTATGGACAGTGTAAATACATCCCACAGCCACGCTTTATTTGCTGATGGCACTGATTGCCGTGGCCCTTGACTAGAGCCTGACAGCAGTGCTTAATAAAGGTCTGTTGATAAGGCAGGTCCGGCATTATCTTGGTTCTGAATCTGCCTCTCACCTGTTGTACCTCCAGTCTGACTGTGTCTCTGTTTCCTCTCATCAAATGGGCCCAGAAGGCAGGAAAAATTCTCTTTTGTTTCCAAGGCAGCTTCTAAAATGCCCACATGGCTGGCACAGCCTGGGCCTTGGTATCTGCATACCCACTCCTGTCCGCCAGGGGGCCTGCAATCCCACCCAAGCAGTGACAGGGCCAGGTGGGACCAGTTAGCGGTTCACCTGGGTCCTTTGCTTCCAGGCCTCCAGCCACCTTCATGGTACCAGCGGAACCCAAACCCAGTAAGCCCGGAAGGTGGGAGGAGAGGGCACCAGCCCTCTCCAGTCCACCAAACGGTTTACAACAGACTATTTTTAACAGCCATATACTCTCGGCGGAACTGAAGAGGAAACACTTGTGGAAGATCTAACAGCTAGGACCTAAGTAATACCATAACAAAAGGAATGTTTACAAGGCCTCAGAACAGCCCAGTTTCTGCTTTCTTCCCATTTGATAGATTTGGAAACTAAAAGCATGTGACTGTCTCAAGTCACACCGGATGGGGGCAGGTCTCAAAGCTCCAGCCAGGCCCTCCACACCACATCATCCCACGATCTAAGAAGGATACTGGGAGCCAGACAGCACCTTACCTGGATATGCATCCTGGCCCGGCGCAGCAGGCTCAGTGTGGTATATCGGGTACAGTCGACCCCCAGGGGCATCTGCTGCCTCAGCTGCTCCAGGCACCGCTTAAGCTGGGCCCTCCTGCAGGTAAAGGGGTCTGGAGGGCAGTGCCAGCCCCACCTCACCAGGCAGAGGGATAGCAAGGGAGGAAAGGTCTGAGAGAAATGGTCTTTGGGACCTGGTCCTGTCAGGGCCAGGTTGGCACTCACCTGCGTTTCTCCAGCTCATTGTGCACAGACCTGCCAATGCCAAAAGGAGATGAAGTGAGGGGCAGTTGGCACTGCCCCAATCCTCAGGCCCAGGCTATTGGGTGGCTCAGCGTTCACTACAGATATCTGTGCCAAGTAAGCCTTTTGTGAGGGCTCATCTAGGTACCAAAACCCCAGGCAGTGACAAGACACATACACCAGAGGATACAGGACACCTGCCCAGGTAGTTGTAGGGTCTCCCCTGACAGCCAAGCAAGACGGGGTCCCTGGACAGATGTGACACCTGATCCAAAAGCAAGTCTGCCAGAGAAGTCAGCCAAGGGGAAAACATTTAACAGGAACTGCACATGAAAAAGGACGAAAACGCAGAAGTCTGTAGGGGAGCTCAGGAGTGTGAGTGGAAGGGGAACTCAGAACTATCTTGTTACAGTTCCTGGCACATCAAAGATGCTCTAGGAGTCTGTGAGTAGAACACACACACACACACACACACACACACACACACACACACACACACACACACACGTCTGGAGAGAGGGCAGATGGAGTAGGGTACCTGGCCCAGAAGGGCAAACAGAAGGAAGTGAGAAGAGGATCAGATGGGCCAGCTGAAGACTAGCGCCCCTCCTCACACTGCCCCATCCCTGCTCACCGCCCACTGTTCAGCGCGCCAGGAGTTTGCAGGGGTCGCTTCCTCCTCCTGTAGACAGCCCGGGAGCTGTAGTGCGGACACAAGGACGCGTAACCGTGCTCCGCCTCTGCCAGAGAGAGGACCCAGCTCGTCAGCCAGAGCCCCTGGCACGGCGTGATCAAGGAAAGGCTTTTGGCGCCAGAACCCTTTCTTCAATCACTCCCTGCTCTGCCGCCCGCGAACTCCTGTGGATGTGCGGGCGGCAGCGCGCCAGCTGCCCTCAAGCCGTGCTCTGTCCAAGTTGGGAGCCAAATCCTGCCCGCGCGCGCGGGGTCTGTCCTCACCTCTCTCGCGCCTCTCCAGGAACTCCGCCGCCTGCAGCAGGACCTGGATGTTGCTGGCCACGGGCTCCATGTCGGCGACAGCCGGCGGCGAGCGGGCCGGGGATGCTGGCCCTGGCGGCCGCGGAACCACTTTTGTTTCAATGTAACTGACACGGTGCCACAAACAGAGGGCCCGCCCCGCCCCCGGCCGCCCCGCCCCGGCCCCGCCCCTGGGAACCGCGGCCGCCCCGCCCTGCCCCGCCCGTCCCGCCTCTTGCCGCCCAGTCTATCTCAGTCCGCAGCTCCTGCCCCTGGTGACAAGCGCTCAGCCGGGCCGGACAGCCTGGACGCGGGCCGCTGCGAGCTGCCCACGCTGCTGCCACCCGCAGTCGCGCGGGCCTGGGTTGCACGTGCGCGCGGGCGCCGCCACATCCACGGGGCGGGCCGCGAGCCTCCGAGACAGGGTTGGCTGGCGCGCGGCCCCGCCCTCTCCCGCCGCGGGGCCCCGGCTCGGGCGGGAAAAGCCGCAGGTTTCAAATTTGAAAACCCGGACGATGAGGGCGGGGGCGAGCGGAGAAGGAGGGCGATGCGCACGCGCCTGCGGAGGGGCGCGGGCGCAGGACACGGTGCGGTCTGTCCCGCATCTGCCCCTCGTGGGTCCTCGCGGGGCTTCAGCTTCCACCGTTGACTCGAATGAGAATCTCTCCTGTCTCTCCCGTCATGTGCTGGGACGCTAATGTCATCGTGAGTACCTCGGTAGGTAACAGCTTCCCAAGCCAAGGCACGAAACACAGCATCTGGCCCCGGATTCTGGAGTGACGGAATCGGGTTCTTCTCCCGTCCCTGCTAAGTGTGACAACTCGGGGACCGTGAGACAGCGTTGCGGAGGGGTCAGAGCTAAGGCCTGTGTAGTGCTCCGAAAGCACGCAGCCCTCTCCCATTAGGGCCATTGCAACCCAACAGCCCGCTCCTGGGAGGCCCATCGAGACCAAGACTGCCAGCCTCGCGGAGAAGGCTGCTGGAACAATACCGCCAGCGGGAGCCACACCTAGTCAGGAAGGGTGGGGCGTTCTGAGAGTCCGCTAGAGCAGAGAGGGGAGACTGAAGAGTTGGCCAGGCAAAGACAGGTATGTGCCAATCAGGCCCCTTCCGAAGAGGCTTTCTGAAGGGTCACTGCCAGAGAAATCAACTGTTAGCCAGGAACTGCTGCTGTTATGTAACCGTCTGTAGATTGAAACTTTGTAGCTATGGGGAAGAGCTGCCCAGACACAGGACAGGCGGGCGGCCCCTAAAACCCCCATCAGCAGGCAACCTCGTAAAGCCTGAGGATGAATTCCTTTTGGAAGAGAGTGACATAGGGTGTCATGTCCAACAATCAAGCTTCAAACTCACTATGCAGCCAGAGATGAGCACGTCCTGATTTTCCTTCCACCTCCCAGCTACTGGGGTTACAGATGAGCACCATAGAACCAATCAGTGTCTAATTTTATTTGTCTAAGACAGCACACACACACAGTGCAGCCACAAACCTCACCATACATCTGGCACCCAGGCGGACTCAGAGCAGACTGGACACAGAAAGGCTCTCCAAGAAAAGGTCCCGCAGAGGGAAGGGCTGGTGATGTAAGTAGGGCCTTCACTGAATAGGAACTGAGCGGCCACTTCATCCTCTGAGCTGCGGGGAACAGCTGGCCCAATGGTGCTAGAAGTCAGCCTAGCCTGAGGCCTCCCATGAATATGGGTCGGGGCCATCAGTCAGCAGCAGACAGGCAGAACACTTCCCAGGGAAAGGGCAAGGTGCTTGGAGGCCCCTGTGAGAAAATGCTCCAGCAAATGCTTTGCAGGCCCAGGCCCAACGGAAGCCCCAGTATTGTGCTCCATCAGCAGGAAGAGTACTGTCCCTAGATCCCCTGGGTGCTGTGCTGCCGGGGGTCCACAGTCCTGTCAGTTACAGAAATCGGGGTGGGCTTACCTTGTTGCAATTTACCAGGTACTAGAGTCCAAGATGGACTTGTGCCTTGGATGAGAAGGAAGACAGGGGTTCCCAAGGAAGACAGCCTTGCATCTCACCCTACAGATAGCTCAGGGGATAGCCCCCCCCAAACCCTGCACAGTCCTCTCTGCAGGTGGGAAGAGTTAGAGACCAGGGTGTGGGGACCTGGCTCAGACCCTGGACTCCCTCTCAGCTTTCCCTTGCTGCAGAGCAGCCGTCCTTAGCACAAGTGATGCCCTGCTAAAGCCTGTGATGGGCCCGACAACCCTCAGGCCCACGCTGGGGCTGGGCAGTACCCCTTCCACTGCCCCCTCAGCAGATCCCGCCTTTACCCACTCCCTGCCTCTACCAGCTGCACTCAAATGCCACCTCCTCCAGGAAGTCTCCAGGCTTCCCTCCTTCCATACACACTCTAAAAACACCAATGATTCTTGTCCCTTGGGGTCAGCTCTTATACCAGACCATGGCGCATGTGCTGGGGACTGAACCTGGGATCTCGCATGTTCTTAGCAGTGAGCTGACCCAATGAGCTACACCAATAGTTTTAAATATCAAGAGTAGCTGGGGCAGTGGGGGCGGTGGTGGCGCATGCCTTTAATCCCAGCACTTGGGAGCAGAGGCAGGTGGGTCTCTGTGAGTTCGAGGCCAGCCTAGGCTACACAAAGAAACCCTTTCTCAAAAACAAACAAACAAACAAATATCGAGCATGACCAATGTTTCCTGCGCCGGGAGTGGAACTTTGTCGCTGAATGCTGGCACAGCGTGTGTGAGGTCCGGAGCTCCACCCACAGCACTCCAGGAACGGCAGTGAAGACCCCTGTTTCTTCCCGCAGCTACCACTTCCGGCCTTCAGCACTTCCTGCCCACGTCACTGCCCCCAGCCTGGGATGCTTTCCTTGGCATTTAGTGCCTCCATCAGATTGGCCTGTGGCCATGGCTATGCGGCATTTTCTTGGTTGCTAATTGCTGTAGGAGGGTCCAGGCCACTGTGGGCACTACCATCCCTAAGCAGGTGTGCCTGGGCTGTGTAAGAAAGGCAGCTGAGGGGCTGAAGAGATGGCTTAACAGTTAAGAGCACTGACTGCTCCTCCAGAAGACCTGGGTTCAATTCCCAGCACCTCCATGGCAGCTCACATCTGTCTGTAACTCCAGTTCCAGGGGATCCGACACCCATAACAGAAAACACCAATGCACATAAAATTAAAAAAAAAAAAAAAGGGTAGCAGAGAAAGCCGTGGAGAACAAGCCAGTAAGAGGTGTCCTTGATGGTCCTGCCCTGTCGTCCCTCAGTCATGGACTGTAACCAATAAGGTGAAATGAGCCCTTTACTGTCCCCGAGTTGCTTTTGGTCAGAATGTTTATCACAGCAACAGGAAGGCAAACTAGGACACTGCTATGTACTGTACTGTTTAGGGAAAAAGAGGGAGGAAAAGTCCATGTGCCTGGAGCAGATGCAGCCTCAGTAGGCCTAATTACCTACAGAGCCATCCAGTACGTTGGATGCAGAGATGCGAAATCCAAAGGTATGGAGAACCAGCTCTACCGAAATTTCCTGTTTCAAACCAGAACAGAAAAAAATATCTATTGGGTTGTCTTAGTACTGTAGATTTTTAGATGTATTTGTTTTATGTGTATGAATGTTTACCTGGGTTGTCTTAGTACTGTGGATTTTAGATGTATTTGTTTCATGTGTATGAGTGTTTACCTGCATGTGTACCATGTGCGTGTCTGCAGAGGTCAGAAGAGGGGGTCTCACCTCCCGGATCTGGAGTTGTGAGCCACCATGTGGGCGCTAGGCACTGAACCCAGGTCCTTTGCAAGAGCAATAAATGTTCTTAACTACTGAGTTGTCTCTCCATCCCCAGATCAGTTTTTCCCTTTCTCCACCATCTTCCCCTGGCCCCTTCAGAAATCTTTTCTTTAATCACTAATCAAGTTCAAGTGTTTCCCAAAAGAACATACTGCAGCCCTACCTCCCAACAACAGCTGTTGCTCTCTTTGGAAATGAGGCCTGTGTAGAATTAATCATTGGAGCATGGTTGAATATGATTGGTGTCTTCATCAAAACAGGAAGTCTGGAGACAAACACGTATGCAGGAAGATGACTGTGTGACCACGGCATCAGAGACGGCCGCGGTGAGTCTGCAAGCCAAGGAACTGCAAAGACTGGAAATCAGCATTAGCTAGAAGGGAAAGTCACACTCTAGAAAAAGGGTGGGGTGTGGCCCTGCCTCCCAGCCTCCCTGTGGGACAGTAACAGCCTGTTGTTTGGGCCACGAAGCTTCGGTGCTACCGCAATCCTAAACCAATGCAAGCCACTCCTAACATTTATTTCACCTGATTTTCCCATTAGGCTGTATGGCCCATCGTGAAACAGCTTTTTCCCTTGTTTTAAAAAGGTGTGTGTGTGTGTGTGTGTGTGTGTGTGTGTGTGTGTGTGTGTGTGTGTGTACACAGGCATGTGGGTGCCACAGCCACATCTGGAGGTTTAAGGACAACTTTTGGGGTGATAGCCCCCTCCCTCGTGGGATCTGTGTGAAAGAGTTAGGACACAGGGAAAACGGGCTTCCTGAGGTGCTGGCTTCTTGTTTCAGGAAGACGCTGCAAAGGGAAACGTCAAGGAGGGAGGGAGAGCTGGGTCTCTGAACAGGACCGGGAGTGGAAGGGGAGAACACAGAAGTCCTCCAAACACCCGTCCGTTTAGTGGACTCCGGGCCTTAGGCGCTTTCCCTTCCACAGGGGTAAAGTTGCTTTCGCGGCTCAGTCTCCGGCATGTTTGTGCATGAGCCCAGTGACCCCCTAGACGACTCCAGCACCCAGTTACATTTCTTGGGGTCTCATCTGAAACTCAAGAAGACCGCTACTCAAGGTCATCGCTCTGACTACAAATTGTGCAAGAGGCTTGGGAGTGGCCATGACCACCCAGCACACCGAGGGCTCCTTTGGAGCAAGGGGCCCTTCCCAACCTCTACCACAAAACCCCAGTCAGCCCCTGTCTCCACTGGGAGCTAGAGACAGGGCAAACTGGACCCCACGAGACGAGCATCTTCCTGGGGAGGAAGCATGGCAGAGGGCAGAAGTCTCACTGCAGACACCTGGAAAGGTCGGTGGGAAGGTCATTCTGCCCTGCAGCTGCCTCCGCCTGCAGCCAACTTTAGGCCCTGGAGTAGCCGGGTGTGGGCACCTGGGGTGGGCTCTGTG